TATAAGAAAAATGAAGTTAATATGTTTTTTTCTTTATTTCTAACTAGAGCCCTGATCAAGGATACAACCGAGTACCGGATAATTAATTTATTTTTACGTTGGACTATATATCTTTTGCGATTTACTATCACAATGAACATCGAGTTTATTGGAAAGTTTTCAAATTTTCTTCATCCATTTTTCGATATAATGCATAAAAGTATCAAATAAAGGAACACAAAAGGGTCTATTTAGTCTGTTCGACTGAACAAACGCTTAAAATTACAAACAGCTGATGCAGCGGTTTGATCTTTTAAAAGATTCAAAAATGTTTTTAAGAATATTTATATTGTTTTTACAAAACTAAGAAATACCCGGTACTATATTTTCTTTAGTTTAACTGTCTATGAATATTTAGCATTATTTTGCCAGCACTACAGATGTAAAATTCACCAAAAAACTAAATGGAATAGACTTTAAATTAACAATATCAAAGTGTTTTTTTTTTAATTTTGTTAAATTGATATAAAACTTTTTACGGTGGCTAAAATATTTACACTAAAACATTTTTTGAGCATTTTCTTTACAGTCCAAAACACGTATAGCATTCAGAAAACCATCCAAGCGTTCGTATTAAGAACAATAAACGATAAACAATGCTCAGTTCATGGTAGAAATGACAAAATTCTGATGGGTTTATTCCATTATCAAAAACGCATCCATATAACTTTCTTTCTCGTTCATGAACACAGACAGGGTGATAAATGAATCTAGCAATGAACCTGATGAAAATATGACAAAAACTAAAACCAAGAGTAAAAAATCATAACATTTCCTTGTCATTAACTCGGAAAAAAATAACCAAAAACAACGTATCCTAGTTAAATTCAACAGCTCATAATTTTGTTTCGTTAAATAAAAGAATTGTAAACATATTACACATCAGAAATTTCTAAATTTCTAAAAAACAATATTGTTTTAGAGCGACATCAAAATAACCTGCATGTACAATGGAAACACTTTTAATTCTCCAAGGCATTTTATCCCACCTGTGATGTTTTAGAGCTCTGTGTTTGCTCTGCTCCAAATTTGTATTGTTTAATGAGCTTTTGAGCTTGAATATGGTTCGTTATAGCCATGTATTTTATTTCAGTACTTCATAATTGCATTGTTTTGCTCTTTTAAAACTTTATATACGACTAGAAAAGAAAAAAAGTATCTGTTTTTCTTAGCACAGAAAAATGACTTGTGTTCCTAATGCATGCACAATACATATTTATTCAGCTTTGGTATTCACTTCTTTATCAAGCTTTTAATAGGACTTTGTACAACTTAATAGTTTCCCAGTCTTTAGTTTGTTATAAACATGTATAAACATAATCTTTATCTTTAAAAAAAACCCCTTCCTCTCGCAAGCTCTATGCAAGAATTGTTTTTGACACATTTTATGCTGAAAGGTACACAAAAGATGACAGAGATGTAAGCCATAAATTGGAAGAAGTGATTTAACCTATATATTCTTGTACCTGTGTATGTTGTATGGAAGAAAGACAAAAACACTTTGGGAATACTTATTTCATTCGTTAGAAGGACTTTCTCTGTTATCACACAATAAAATGGATTGCATGTCTGAAAGATTTTATGAAGAAGAAAATGCAATTTCTAAACCAAATGTGCGGCACTTAATTCTATGTGTTCCAATTCATGTTCATAATTATTTATAGATATTTGCAGATTTGGTTATAGTGTACATAAAGGATAGGGGATTCTTTACGTTTTGCAATCAACATTCATCCAAAACATATGGAACTGCTTTGCCATGTCCTTCAATTAAATTCTGTAAATGAAGACCTGTCGTATTCTGTTAAGGGTAAGGTAAAATTGTATAAATCACAACAAAAACAAAACCAATGTGACTATGCAAAATAACGAAATCATCTACGATTGTCCTTGACAAAAGGTGTCACATATACAACCTAATTAAGTGAATGTTGTATAATTAACAATAAACACCATGTCCATACCATTAAATGGTCTGCTATAAACGTTAAGTGCATATATCTGCAAACTGTCACACGCCCCTGCTTTACCGTGTGTGGTAAGACATAAATAAATGTGACCTAATTTCTACAAATTATAACGATTTAATCAATGTTTTTGCTTACTATCATTTAAAAGATGAAAGGGTCGATTAAATTAAAATAAAAAGTTAAAATCGTTTACTGCTTACAATATAAACATATTTACATGGGATTTTTTTCATAGTGAAAATATCAAAACATATGTCTGTTTTTAATCAAATAGTGCCTGTACATATCGGAAATTATATTTTCAATTCACAAAAAAATAGTTTTATTAATTCGGTACTTCTCGTCAGATTATTGCAATACAAATTTACGTACTAGTAAATGCCAAAAATGGCGATGAAACATTGACTTTTAACAACTTCGTTAAAGTGGCTTTGTTTGTTTGTTCTTTAACGTCTCTTTGTTAATTATTCTCTCGTATAGAGACGTCTCCACTTGCAAGTGCAGGGATGCAAAAGGTCTGTAATCTGCTTTTATGGCCTTTGATCAGTGAAGATCTTTTTCTTGTCAACATATACTTTGACACGGTATCTTGGTTTAAACCGTCTTTTCCGAGGGAACCATTCTCCACGTTCCGCAATTAAATAATCAGCAGACGTAAATTCTATAGTCATTATAACGACATTGTTAACAAATCTAACCTATCGCTGGATCGTAATTTGATTGAAGTGTTTGGCCTTTGTTTTTATGCGCAATTTGACCACAGAGTGTTCCGTTTACCGTATCAAATAGATAAGGCTTATGGCTAGTGTTACAGGGGATGTTTACGCCTCCGAGGCACCTGATTGAACCTATGGAATTTATAAAGTGTTTATGTCAGGTTCAAAGATTTTTATTGTTTGAATATTTTAAGAGATCTTTCACTGTTCGTTATCCGTACTTTAATTTAGGTCAGACGACATGTTCCTCAAAAATATATAATTTTTCCTGAGAATTTGTCATTGAAGTATAGGTACTTAAAAAAGTTTCCTCACAAAAGATTAGTGTATCTTACCAGGCATTTGGACAAGATAACAGAGGGTCATATTTCTTTTATAACCCTTATGGATAATCTTCAGAATGGGCTATATCGCAATTTTTGGTGTACTTATTTTTAAAAACATTTTGAAAACAATGTAGAAATCAAAGAGAATGTCAAATATGAATAATTTTTGATATGATACCAAGAGATACAAAAAATATATCTGAGGAACGTGTCGTCTGACCTTAATGATGATGAATTAAAATCTGGTATACGGTGACTGTTAACTTCACATATTTTATTTAAATTGTTGCAAACTTTTTAAAAATGATTCAGGCACTTAAAGTAATAGCAACTTCGACTTTGCTATTTTTCGATGGTGTGCTAACAAAAGCGTAGAGAAACCAGATTTTTACCTTGTTCCTTAAAGCACAACGCACAATATTCCATAAAATTCTTACCATTACTGAATTGTAAATAGTGAAATACATCTATTTCATCAGCAATAGGTTTTGTAAAAAGTTGTGGATGGAAATGGAATTTCAACCGCATACGAGTAGTTTGGAGAAGACAGATTTTATTCAATAAAAAAGTTAAATGAAGAACAGTAATATTATTTCTAATTAAATCATCATAAAAGAAAACAATATCTTCCAGAAGCGGTAACTCCGATTTAATTATACAAAACAGTAAGACATGTACATAAAACCTGTATACTATTTTTACGTGGATATAAATGTCAGCTGTAAATGAAGCACGGGTCGACAACTTCACCGTTTCTGTCGCCTGTGAAACTGTCATAACGGTCATTCTTTGTAGCATTTAGGTGGCACATAGCCTTCAATGGGACAAATGCCTTCTTTGAAAAAAACACATTTTATCATGTCCTGCTGAGTTCAAAACTAAACATGCATAATGAAATATATGGAGATAACTAACGATATCTAAGCTCAGAAGTCCATGCAAACGATACAAATCAGGAGCAGAGCAAAAACGGACCTCTAAAACATCAGAGGTGGGATCTATTTTAAAATCATAACATGTCACACCTACAAAGTAAGATCACCAAACTGTTGATGCATCCTTGATGAAAAAGATTTATTTTATTTGCCTTTCATGAATAATGAGATACTTATACTATGCGACTATCAAATCTGTTTTTGATGTTGAGCAATGTGTATTCTAATAGTCCATGATTTAGCTTTGAAGGCAGTGCTCATGATTTTGTCAAGGTGTTGTTTTTGGTTACACAAACATCTTAATAATTACACAAATAGATAAAAAAAAAGTTGTATTACCATGCGAATAATGTTTTAAGAAAGATGAATGTTGGCCACGTATGGATTATCAAATGAATATGGATCATTAGATTATACTTTGCGACTCTTTGGCTCTGCTTTGGATGCTAGGTCAACGGTCTAAAGATGCGTTTCTCATAAAAGTAATGTTCCATGCAATAAAGTACCTAGAATTCATTCAAATAAGAATAATGGTATTTCGGGGAATCAAATATTTATATTGATAACAAATAAAAGGTAAAACTGACGTGATACTTTCTTGATTAAACAAGTAAAATATTGGATAAGTTTTGGTTGTTTATCCTTTACACATACTCATTTTTCTCTTTAAATGAAAAAAAAAAGAATCGTGCCAACTTTGTGTCAATATTTTCAAATATGATTTCTGCTTTATTAACACGTTCAGTTTTTGAAGAAAATTCTGGTTATAAACAGTGTTTAGAGTTACGAATGATTAACTTTTTTTCAATTTACATCTTGTTTATTTTCAAATGTGCAGTCATTTGCTTTTAATGGAAAACTAAATGTGGAATTTTATAAAAGATAACCTTATCAACAAAATCATGCAATGCAGCCTCTGGTCAAATATCTAAAAAAAAGGACGAAATTTTAGCATCAACTTTTTTATGAACAAAATGAGTAATAAGGATTTCGATAGCCTTTGGTTTGTAAAAAATGCCGCAGCTCGGCTTCCTATGTAAGGTGCCAAGAAATCAAGTTTTTCTTCACCACTGGTTGAATAGGTAAGTCTCCGTTTATCTTTCAGAGCGAGATGCTACCTACTCACAGTTTTTCGGTTCTCTCGATGAGATGATTAAGATTTTGTTTCCCATTGGTTTGTAGGGAAGTCTCAGCTTGGCTCCCTGAGCGAGATGATATACTTATTTCGGTTCTCTTAAAGAGATGCTAACTGATAAAGAAGATGTTTGTTTGTGGGAAGTCTCACGATGACTGATACAGATGTTGTTTATTTGTAGGGAAGTCTCAGCTTAGGTCCCTGAGTGATATGCTGAATGATCCCACAATGACTGATCAAGATTTTATTTGTTTGTAGAGAAGTCTCACGAAGACTGATAAAGCTGTTGTTTATTTGTAGGGAAGTCTCAGCTTAGGTCCCTGAGTGATATGCTGAGTGATCCCACAATGACTGATCAAGATTTTATTTGTTTGTAGAGAAGTCTCACGATGACTGATAAAGCTGTTGTTTGATTTGTAGGGAAATCTCAGTCCCTAAGCGAGATGCTGAGTGATCCCACGATGAGCAAACTGTTGATGGGAGGCGGTGGAGGGGCAGGCGGACTGGGGGCTGCAGGCCTGGGAGGCGGACTAGGAGGTTTAGGGGGCGGAATCGGGGGCCTAGGAGGTAAGCATGATATGTAATCAGAATAGAATTGTAAGGCCCCAGGGTAATGAAGTAGTCTTAGAAGTAGAAATGGCAAAGATTGAAAAAGAGACGAACTAATCGTCAAGATATCAGTAAAAAAATTTGGAAAATTATGGTTGTGGCTTAATTTTTTGGTACCATATTTGCCATAAATTTAATAAATAGTTAAGATTGTGCAGGTGATACTGTGCAATTAAAATTTAAAAGTATGCTAAAAAACAGCACTTTTTGAAATTCAAAGCATACAGGAAGGATTTACTCAATCATTTTCTTTGGGGCTTAATTCAACTTGATGCAACCATGTATTTCTAAATAATGTTTCTATTTATCTAGAAATGCAGATTGCAAATTGTATAGAATATATATGTATTTGGAATTTCAAATTCAATACGTTGCAAGCTTACAAAGAATGACAATGCAGATTGACACTGGTTTATACTAGATACTACTAACTGTTTGTTTGGCTCGATCATGCAACTAAAATAGAACAGTAACCGTTAATTTTTAATAACATATCCAATATATTCAATTGATTTGTTTTATTTTTTATGTTTTTGCCAGGTGAGTCTTCTTTAAACTTGGGATCTCTGATGGAGAACCCAATGCAAATGTTGACAGATCCCACAATGAGGCAGCTGTTAACTTCCGGAGGCGGGGCGTCAGCAGGGGGTATTCAAGTTCGATAAATAAATGTACTGTCCATTTGGGACAAAGACCGTTGTATAATGTCCATATTTTTATGAAAATCTGTAACAAATTCCCTGAAACTTTTTTGAAAGTTTTTCTTAATCAAAATAGAATTTAAACATTCAATTCCCAAAAACCTAATACTGTATCAAAGAATTTAATTTGAAATGACATATTCGATGCGAAATGATGATCTGACATAAATATATTTACTTTTTTTGATTATGTACACATACAGAGAAGAAATAAATCGACTTTCAAATCACATTTCTTTTTTTATTTGTAAAGGTATCGACCCAGCCACCTTGTCGGCTCTGATAGACATGCAGAGTGCACCTTTACTGGACACAAACATGCTAACTCAGCTCAGCCAATTAAACGACCTCATTCCCCCCGCCCCCACCACCCCCAAACCAACTAAACCAGCTACAGTGAAACCAGCTTCAACCATCAATCTTTCAATAGGTTTGTTAACAAGAGATTTATAAACAATCACCAATATTAATTTATTATTTTAGGCTATTCATTATTTACAGTCAAATGTCGACCTTTCTATAAATTTATTTCATTTTAAGGATCAGTTGTCAATCAATTATTATAGATTAATTACGAGCTTTTTTGTTATATGTAATTTGTCATAACATTACATCAATGCTTATGGTTTATTTTATTTCCCGTGGGCATATTCTTTTACCTTAAAGATTTCAATACAGATGTTAAATTGTTTCTATAAATTTTTCAAGTACCATTGAATTTTTTAGCAGAGAACGTTGAAAAATAAGTCTCATATAGCATATACTTTGCACTATGTTTCTAATAACAGAAATTTGATTTTTTTTTTTGGGCTTTATATAATTCTGCTTCAAAGGAGGTTCCTCTGCTACTTTGGGAAAGGACCAATCACTTGCAGACCTTATCAAAAGACTTCAGTTGAAAAGAAAGAAGAAGGAAGCTGCTGAGGCCGCTGCAGCCGCCATAGAAACTGTTCCTAATGGCAACCTAGGTGCAGTGTTTTCAGAAACCCTCAAACCCAGTAACCTCAACCCTAACTTACCAGTAGCAAAAATTCTGGAACTTGCTAAAGACGGAATCGTACGTATGAAAAAGATTATCTGTTACCATATTCTCACATCAAATTCCAAATATTATTAATTTATTTAGTTAAAGCGATGCCTGCACTGTCATTAATCCCCATTTACCATGTTATATGCTTTGAGCGAATACTGATTGATTGATTTTTTCATCTGTCATTCTGAAATCAACAAGACTTTGAGGCTTTATTTTCTACATTGTAGATGACTTTTTAAGTCTTGATATTGCTGATATAACTGCAATCTGTACGATTTTTATTCAGACTTAAATTAAATATCATTTTATCGCCGTTTTACTTTGAAATAAACAAAATCGTGCGGTATGCTCTTTACAGGGTGTTGCTCCAAATCTTCAAAACATGGTTTGCCCTACAAAACAGTGTCCCTTCCCTTTAGCGTGTGGTAATCCGGTAAAAACTTACACACCCGAAACATTCTTCGTTTGCCCGGAATGTCCAATGTGCCCCGGGGACATTCTCAAAGGTGTTTCTGCCAGACTAGGGAAAGTTGTCAGGATAGCAAATGCAAAGAAAAAGAAGACCAAGGCAGCAACCTCTAATAGGTAATGTATCCAAGTGTATTATTACTGACATACTGCATCGCATGGCTTTCCATATTTGCTTATTGCTTTGTTTGCATGTTCTCTTTAACCGATGATGACACAGGAATAAAAATAAATTTGCAAGAAAAAAGTACAGGGTAATCATTAATTAACATAATTTTTTTTCTGATAGCCTATCTAATAAGCAAGTTAACAAAAAATCTAATCAACAGATATAATCAATGAATGCTGAAATCTTTTATAAACAATATTATAGATTCATAGTATGCCATCATTTAAAATCAACTCGATCTTTCTTTCAGAAAACTGGAATACAAAGTATTTCCAACTCGCATAACACCGATTTCTCATGTGAATCACCCATATTTATCGCATATGCTGAAATTTCATTTCTGACATCCTTAGTGCGCATGCTTACTGGAGTGTTTAATATGCATGCAATTTATTGCTTATTTGTGCTGCGGTGCTTTGAGGAATATCGCTTGAAGCGGAATGAATGAAGAAGATATTGAAGGAAGGAAGAGATTGCTTTGAATTAAAATAATTATTTATCATTATTTTCACAGGTCATTGCTCTTGGATGTTCATGTACTGTTAGCGCTACATATAACTGATATTTGCATCACATGGCATCGTAGTAGCTTCATATTCATATGTATAACCCAAAGCAATTATACTGCATTGAATGGCCCCATCTAAAAGTTTCAATTCTCAAAGCATGGTGCATGTTTTGGTAAAAGTCATGCAACTGTTCTATGAAATATTTTATCAAAGTACTCCAAAAAAATTTTTCCTACAAATGATATGAAAAAAAAATAAAAATTGTTAAAGTTTGAAGGGGAATTTTAGAAAACATAAACTTTTACACGAAGTTGATGTTTTGTTGCAGAAGCGCACGATATTCGTCTTATGACGTCATGAACTTCGCAGGATGAATTCTGCAATCCTAAAGTTCATAGCTGGATTTTCACCTCAAAAGACCAGTGCTAGGGAAGTTAAACTCATTGACCACCATAAACACTGTATCATTCATGTGTTCATACAATGTAACCATAACTAGGCTTTTGTGTATGATATAAATTACACAAAAACCAATTTGTGTGATAACTTTCACGACTAGAATACTCTCTGTTTGCTGAGTTCCATATATATTTGTTACTGGTTATGCTAATACTGTTTATTCACAACCAGCGCTTATTTCATATGCTTCACAGTATTTTATAAGCATTAAACAAGAAAAATATATACCTTAATCACTGTGCTTATCTTATTATTATATTATATGTGAGAAGTGGACAATTGCACAATTCTTGTAAAAATTTTCATTCAGATCTTTCACCTCATTTCTATTTTAGGCATATCAAATATATCTCATATTTATGCATTTTAGTAAAAGTAACACACAAGCACAATAGTAATAGGACTTCTTATATGTGTTCATTATAGCCCATCACTGCTTGAAGTAGGCCTTTTAATTCAACAGATTAAAATTATTTCTAACTATAGGACAGACATGAGGGATCCATTGTAATTGAAAATGTAAATGATATTTTGAGTGTTTGTTTCGAATAAGTTCTTTAAAAAGAAAGTGTTCGACAACTCAGATCTTTCAATGGTACTAACATTGTTAAAAAAGGTTGTACTAATTTGAAATGTAAATGTTGAGAAAAAGCTGTTCTCATTGAATGATCATGCCACTTTTTGGTATTTTTTTGTTTTTGATTTCCTCTATACATCAATTGTTTTAATATGGGAAGAACCAGTGTATCTCCCGGGTTTGTCCTACAATACGTGTTCTCTAGAAGTAGATAGTTGTAATTCATCTGCTTACATACTAACAGGTAATAAAGGTGCTGTAAAAATATTTTGTCAATAATTTTATCAAGAAGTCATCCAACCAAATACTACCGAATTTTAAGTGTTCGGAGCTTATTATTTTAATAAGGATATGTTTTAATAATTGTTATTATTTTGAAGTAGAAACGCATATGAAAAAGTCCTGTGTTTTAGTGTTGTGTAAGTTGAAGAACGTGGAAAGACCAGATTTTATTTTTGAATATCAAAATATGGAGCGAACCCAAACCCTTATTAAGTTTTTTTCTGAGGTTATTGAAAATTGAGTACACTTTTATGAAAATTGGTTTAAAGTTTCATTTCTATTAATATACATAGATCATGCTCTGATTTTTAGGATTAGATAATTTGAAAGAAAACAAAAACCATTAGAATTACAGTATTTTTTTTAATAAAAGGTACAGAATATAGTGTTTAACATATATGTAATGTTTTCTTTATACAGTATAAATAAGAAATCGCCATTTGAGGTCATGGGATGATAGCACAACGGCAAATAGCACCACAAAGGAAATTCTATCAATAAAACACAAATATAATCATTGCCTTTTCATTTTTTTCTCTTGTTTTCAATAATGCCTCTATCAACATGTTTTGTGTCGTAGTAGTAAAAGAATTGTGATGTTTGAAAAATAAACATTGAGTACCTAATTCTGTGTTATTTATTTTTTTTTAAATCTGTTAATTGTTTCATTGAAACAATGTCGCACTTTCTAAAAAAATAAAATGAGATTAATACAAAATTTGATTGGTCATATTTCAATTTTGTGTGAATTTACTTATAATTTACATCAATACAGTAACATTGACTAGAATTTTACAAGAAGACACGAAGAAAGTATTTATCATTTGTTCTGCTTTACAAGTTACAAAAAGAATAATCTTTGTAAATTTATTTGATACAAATCACACAGACACAAAATGATAAGAAGTCAGATAATTAGCACAAATCGAAGGACATCTCTACTACTAAAGATATGAAGTCCTAAATCTCAGAATCCCATGGGAGAATGGTGGGATTTTCAGTCCCACCAACTGTTTAATGGGGTTTATCCAATATGGATAAACCTGGTTATTTCGTGCAGCTTAATGTTTTACATGCAAAGATAGATAACTCTTAGTTTCTTAACATTGAACGTCAAAAATCATCGGGCTCGGTGCTTAAAAAATTCTTGATATTTCTTGTATGCGCATGTCTTCTAGAATATTCCTTTTGAATCTGTAAATTGAACGAAGCAGACGCAAAGATTTTTTAAAAGAATTAATCGATCATCATCTGCTGATTTATTGTCAAATACAAGTAAATATGTTACGTGTATCAAGAGCTTCGAAGGCCAGAAGACCTTATTTCAGAGAAATCACAAGAAGTTCCATATCCAGACCTAAAACATAGAGAAGGCCTAGCTGTAGAAACTCGTGCAGTTCTGAACATGATGTCGCCATTGTCGAGCAGGCACCTGACTTAGAGTCACTGTAACTTCCTTAGTTTACCTGTTACCTGCTAATCCAGCTCAACATAATCGAGGTACAGTTTAATTTGACCCAAATCCTTTTATTAATTATCATATTTTTAATTTTTACGAATTTCCATACAATGCAACATTCAAATGACGTCATATTTGTTATCAAGGGGAACCCTATGCATGTTTTTCACAAAATATGACACCTTTTTTCCACCATTGCTATTTGCCAAAACCAATATCGAGTGTTTTGTGTATTTCTGCACATTTGGGAATTTGCCTAAATCTACTGCACGTGTATCCGTCGTGGTTTAAACCAGAATTACAAACTTGCTTTAAAAAACCAAGACCCTGCATAAATAGTCTATAAACTATCCATCTAGGCTTCACATAGTAATAATTTGGGATTTCCATCATTCGTTATGTTTTCTACGGTGATCTAGTAATGCCATTTTTATATAATTTTCAATGAAAATATCGGGGTTTGTTAAAAAAAAAAAAAAAAAAAAAATCGTCCCATTACATGTACATAAACATTTAATTTCTTTAAATATACACCAAATTATACATGTACATAGAATTAATTTTTTAATAATTGAATTAATCGAATAATTAAACGTTTAACAATATTTTGTTTTTCTAAACGACTCCCAAAATGATTAAATAAATAAATAAAAATAAGGTATTCTAGACTTATTGATTTGTAATTAATATTAATTTTATTTCTTGGGAATTTTAATTGTAGGACACGTCACACCATTTCCTAGTCGTGCATGGCAGGAATAATCTATAAAATTAATGCACTTCAATTTTATTTAGATAGTTCAATGGTTACGTGTGGTGTTTAGTAAACATTGGTCTTGCCCACATTGACCGGTTGACTGGCCTGAGGAGTAATGCAGGGATATCGCCTTCCTAGAAATTGTATCTGTTGTACTAAGGATTATGATTTGGGCTGAAAGTTTAAATTAGATTTAAAAAAAAAAAAAAAAAAAAAAAAAAAAACCAACTTCATATTGACAATTTTTCTTTGGTTTATAACAATTTAATCACAAATCATCCAAAAAAAAAGAATTATGGCATTAGTCGGGATGTTAGTTATGCAGATTTTTTAAGTTTAATGTACATTTAAAAGCAACATATACAAGGTATATTATAAAATAATGATAATAAATAAATTCCATATACTATTTCTCGGTTTATGTGGACCAGGTTTCATTACAGTACCTTTTCCCTCCAAGTACATGTACCTATTCAGTTTTGCATCTAACTATTTAGGAGCCAGCTGTAGCCAGTCTCCTTCAAACTGGTGTATCTCAAAATACAGAAAGCAAAAGTCTTTTTTTAATTTCAGGCAACAGGTATCATTTCAGCAGATCTGGTCCCCTCCTTTTGATCATATGATTAATTTTATAGCATATATATGTCAGAGTATTATGGCTTTTCTACCGTCAAATGTTATTTATCAGGAATCAGTTTTGTCATCAACTTGCATGGTTGACAGAATCCAATCGATTCATTTATTATTAATAAGATATGGGTTGGTTACAAGAGATGTAACTAATGCGTCTCAGGATATAAGAAAACTATTATATTACCTATGTTGGATAACATTGTCAGTGTTTTGCCATTTTGAAGCTGCTTTATTTAAGTCTGGTTTTACATGATTTTGAAGCTGCTTTATTTAAGTTTGCTTTTACATGATTTTGAAGCGGCTTTATTTAAGTCTGCTTTTACATGAGCTTTCTTTGCATTACTAAAAGTGAGTAAAATAGTGGCTTTGGGTATCAAGCATATAATTGTCTCTTGTGATACCATTCAAGTTTTTTGTTACAACATTTTAGACTGGCCAAACTGGTTCGGGAACATGTTTGCATTTTGAAAAATATTACAATATGATTGTTTCAATCTTTGCAGAATTTTGCTGTATTATGTACAAATATTGATAGGGCGTCTCAATTTTCACATTTAAACTCAAAACCCTTATCCCAATATCAGTTTCCGTCCATCTTAAGGTATTCAATGTATAATGAAGGGATTTTCGACAATTTTAGATAAAGATAAAAGTGAAATGAACCAAAATTCGCTAGACTAATAACATGTACAGAGACGGTCATTTTGCACATTGAAAGTTTCTAAGAGTTACCTGGCCTTGATTAAAAAAAAAAAAAAATATTTATCTAAATTTCTTCGGTATTATTCACTTTATATCATATTTTAATAAACAAACAAACGCATATTTTCATCAAGAGATGATACTCGGATTAGTTTGAAATTCAGATTACTTCTTAAAATATCTTTCAAACACATATGCGCTGTCCATAGACTTTAATATTAAAATCAAGGTGCAATTAATTGGTTAGTAATCAACATGTAAATTCCTTGTTGGAACATTTTTGTTTGACAACATCTTCAAATTATGACTAAAATATTGCCGACTTGGCGTAGAACAATAAAAATTAATCAATCAAAATATTTTGCTACCATGATTTAAAATATTGGACTATTTATTTCTTAGGTACAAAATATGGTCGTTATACATTGTATAAACTTTAAACAAAGCTTTGCAGTTTTGGAATATTCAGTCAACTGAAGTTAAGACGTACTGATTTTTCACATTGGGGTTGCAACCCACTTGTATACAAAAGTGTTTACAGAGGAAAATATTACGCAGATCGGAAGGTGGCAGTTGGGCGCCAGGGCTGTGTATTGAGCAAAATTGAAAAAAAATTAGATACGATACGATACAATAATTTTTTTTTTCCTGAAGATATATGCGATATATTGGATTCTATTACAAGTCAATCATAAAAGGCTTATAAATCATTTAACGTATGAATTTCATAAAAATTAAGTGTTTCATTGTCATTACAACTTACACCT